GGTGGCTCATGCCTGTAATCCCAGCACTTTGGGAGGCCAAGGTGGACTGATCACGAGGTCAGGAGTGCAAGACCAGCCTGGCCAACATGGTGGAACCCCATCTCTACTAAAAATACAAAAATTAGTCAGGTGTGATGGTGTTCACCCATAGGTAGTCCCAGCTACTGGGGAGGCTGAGGCAGGAGAATCGCTTGAACCTGGGAGGTGGAGGCTGCAGTGAACCAAGATGGCGCCACTGCACTCCATTCTGGGAGACAGAGTGAGACTCCAAAAAATAAACAATAATAATAATAATATAATGGGGTTAATAACACCAGCCTAGCAAAATTGTTGTGAAGAGTAAAGGCCATAAGTGTAAAATGCCCTGGCAGATAAGTATTAGTGCAATTATCAATATTAATATTAATAAGGCATTGCAAAGGTAGTAGAGCTCCAGGACTCAACCTCCAGAGTCTTTTCAGTTATATAGATAGAGCCATTCCCCAAGTTGAGTTCCGTTTCCTCTTCTTCCATGAAGCCCCCCAGGATTGTTCCTGTTTACCCTGGCTACTCCCTTCCCAGAGCTCAGGCCTCCTGCCATGGGAAAGTTTTTTTTTTTTTTTCCTCATCTGGGTGCAGACGTCCACATAAGTGTGTTTTCTCTCTAATGACGGACTGCCTGTGAGATACTTGGGGCCAGCTTTAGGTCAAGGAGACCCCACCCTGACTCAAAAGTCAAGGACCTTCCCCCACCACACACATGCACATATGCACGTGCTTCTAGATGAAGCTGGAATTCTCCCCTCAAAGCATGATTCCTTTGGCCCCAGCCTTGATCATGGGAGGGCTGGGGGTAAATACCCTGGGAAGAGGCCTTGGGACCTATCCTGAGCCCCTTGATAAGGGGGAGCTGGGAGTGAACTTGAGACACCCTGAGTCCTATTGGACTAGGGCAGGTGCCCAGAGGGCAAGAAGGACAGGACAGGACCTGACAATGTCACCCATGTCCCATCATTGCATATCACATCACATACCCTGGCTCCCCTAACCCCACCTGCTGTGGATGCTCATCCAGTTTGTTCTCATTCCTCTCTACCTCTAAGAGGGGCAGCCTCCCTACCAACACTGTGGGCTCCAGGACAGGAGGACGTGGAGTCCCCAGAGCAAGGTGGCTAGAGTATAGTGGGTGAGACCCTCCCTGCAACCCATCAATAGCCACGGAGGTCCAGAGTGAGGGGATAGGCTTGGGCAGACTAAGGAGGACCAGAGAGAAATGCAAAGAGGGGGCTCACCTGTGGGTAGGGCTGGACACCGAAGGGCCAGGAGAAGTAGCAGCCATGTGGCAGCCATGGCCCACTCAGAAGGAGGCAGGACCCAGCTGCAGACCTGAGTTGTGGGCTGGGGGAGGAGGCACCCACAAGACTGCCTTCCAGGCCACAGGCCCAGCTGCATCTCAGCTGCTCCACCACGAGCCGTTTCCCCTGGTGATGGGCCCCTCCTCCTGCCCTGGCCCCCAAACCCAATCCTGTCTCATGGGCCAGGGAGCACAGGGTGCCTCCCCCACACCAGGAGCTGGACGTCTGCACTCCTCCTGAAGAGCACCTCAGTCTGCAAAGCCCTCCTTGAGGGCAGCTACCATCCATTGCACACACAGCACCAGGTGGCTTGATGGGCTTGATGTGCAGCCCTTCACTTGGTCCACTCAACCACTGTGAGTTCACTTCGCAGGTGAGGCAAATGAGGCTCACAGAACGTGAGGGATCCGCCCAGGGCCACACAGCTTACAGGTAGCAGAGCCCGGGCCTGAACTGTTTTTAGATGGCTGGCTTTATTATAGGCAAAAAGATGCCCAGTAAACTTTTTGCCATGCTATTAAACCCTCCTTTTAATTTTACTTAAATTTTTATTTTATTTATTTTTGAGATGGGGCTCGCTCTTTGTTGCCCAGGATGCAAGAATGCAGCAGTACAATCATAGTTCACTGTAGTCTTGAACTCCTGGGCTCAAGTGATCCTCCTTCGTCAGCCTCCTGAGTAGCTAAGACTACAGGCATGCACCACCACACCCAGCTAATTTATCTTCATTTTTATTTTTGTAGAGCTGGAGTCTTGCTTTTTTGCCTGTGCTGATTTTGTACTCCTGGGCTCAAATGATCCTCCTGCTCTGCCCTCCCCAAGTGCTGGGATTCTAGGTGTGAGCAACCATGCCGGGCATTTATTATACCATTTTAACTTTTTTTTTTTTTAAGAGACAGAGTCTTGCTTTGTCACCAGGCTGGAGTGCTGTGATGCAATCATAGCTCACTACAGTCTTGAACTCCTGGGCTCAAGCAATTCTCCCACCTCAGCCTTTTGGATTTTTTTGGAGACAATCTGGCTTTATCACCCAGGCTGGAGTGCAGTGGCATGATCTCAACTCAATGCAACCTCCACCTCCTGGTCTCAAGCGATCCTCCTGCCTCACCTTCCCAAGTAGCTGGGACCACAGGTGTGCCACCAGACCCAGCTAAATTTTTGTATTTTTTTGCAGAGACTGGGTTTCGCCATATTGCCAGGCTGGTCTCCGTCTCAAAGTTCTGGCACTACAGGTGTGCGGCGCTGTGCCCGGCCTTGTTTGATTTTTCTAAGACATTCTATTATGGCAGCCATTGTTTTCTTGTTAGACATTTGGATTTCCAGTTTGGGGCAATGGATATCTTTGTTCATAAAGGCTTTTCCAAATTTACTTTTTTTTTTTTTGAGACAGGGTCTTGCTCTGTCACCCAGACTGGAGTGTGGTGGTACAATAGTGGCTCACTGCAACCTCCACCTCCCCGGCTCAAGCGATCCTCCTGCCTCTCCCCCAAAAGTAATGTCTTCAGTAGCTAAGACCACAGGCGTGCACTACCACCTGGCTATTTTTCGTATTTTTGGTAGAGACAGGATTTTACCATACTGCCCAGGCTGTTCTGGAACTCCTGAGCTCAAATGATCTGCCTGCCTTGACTCCTCAAAGTGCTGGGATTACAGGCTTGAACCACCTCAACCAGCCCTAAATTTACATTTATTTCCTTAAAATTATTGGCTAAAGGCCTCTGTAATTTTGTTTGTGTTTTTTTAACTTTTTAAAAATTATTATTTTTTCTTATTTCTTTTTTTGACATCAGAATACGAACACACAAAAAAACATGAACACAAAATAAGTATTTTTTTTTCTCATCCTGGTGCAGATGTCAATGTTGTTCAACCTTTAAAGAAGTTCTAGTTGTGGTAGGATACTCTTAAGATAAAATTTACCATCATAACCATTATTTATTTATTTATTTAGAGACAGGATCTTAGGCCTGTAATCCCAGCACTTTGGGAGGCTAAGGCAGGTGGATCACCTGAAGTCAGATTTCAAGACCAGCCTGGCCAATGTGATACACACAATTCAAATACAAAAGTTAGCCAGCCATGGTGGCGGGCACCTGTAGTCCCAGCTATTTAGGAGGCTGAGGCAGGAGAATCCTTTGAACCTGGGAGGCGGAGGTTACAGTGAGCTGAGATGGTGCCATTGCACTCCAGCCAGGGTGACAGAGCAAGACTCCTGCTCAAAAACAAAACAAAACAAACAAACGAACAAAAAACCAAAAGAGAGGATTCTGCTATTTTGCCTAGACTGGAGTGCAATGTCTATTCACAGATGTGATTATAATGCTTCAAACTCATGGCCTCAGACTACAGAGTAGTTGGCATTACAGGGGCATACCCCCACAGCTGGCCATCCTAACCTTTTCCTTTCTTTTTTTTTTTTTGAGACCGAGTCTCTCTCTGTCATCCAGGCTGGAGTGCAGTGGCACAATCTTGGCTCACTGCAACCTCCACCTCCTGGATTCAAGTAATTCTTCTGCCTCAGCCTCCCTAGTAGCTGGGACTATAGGTGCACACCACCACACCTGGCTAATTTTTTATTTTTGGTAGAGACGGGGTTTTACCATGTTGGCCAGGCTGGTCTCGAACTCCTGACCTCAGGTGATCCACCCACATAGGCCTCCCAAAGTGCTGGGATTACAGGTGTGAGCCACCATGCCCGGCTCATCCTAACCATTGGTAAGTATACATTTCAGTGGACATTCATACTGCTGTGCAACCATCACCATCATCTATCTCTAGAATTCATCTTGCAAAAATGAAACTCTGTACCCTGGCAACCACCATTCTACTTTCTGTAAAGAAATTTGAGTACCTCATTCAAGTAGAATTATACAGTATTTGTCTTTTGTGACTGGTTTATTTCACTTAGCACATGTCCTCGTTTCATCTATGTTGAACCATGTGTCAGAGTTTTCTTCCTTTTTATAGCCGAGTAATATGCCATTGTATGTATGTATGTAGCACATTAATCTGTGGATGCACAGTTGGGCTGCTTCTACATTTTAGCTATGATGAACATGACTTCATGATAGCTAAAGTGAAGTGGTTATCAACCTCAAAGGAAGAGGCTGAAGCACAAAATATGATTTAAAGAGCTTACTTGATGACACCTGTAATCCCAGCACTTTGGGAGGCCGAGGTGGAAGGATTGCTTGAGACCAGAAGTTCATAGGATATCCATTACGAACATGGATATCTCTTTGAGACCTTGCTTTCATTTTTCAATATATATTCCCAGTAGTGACATTGCTGGATCCTATGGTAAGTCTATCTTTATTTATTTTTTTTTTTTTTGAGACAGAATCTCTCTCCATCACCCATCCTGGAGTGCAGTGGCTCAATTTCAGCTCACTGCAATTTCTACCTCTCGGGTTCAAGTGAATCTTCTGTCTCAGCTTCCCGAGTAGCTGAGATTACAGGTGCACATCATCACGCCCAGATAATATTTTGTATATATGTATATAATCTTTTTTGAGATGGAGTTTTCCTCTTGTTGCCTGGGCTGGAGTTCAATGGAGTGATCTCGGCTCACTGCAACCTCTGCCTCCCAGGTTGAAGTGATTCTTCTACCTTAGCCTCCCAAGTAGCTGGGATTACAGGCATGTGCCACCACACCTGGCTAATTTTGTATTTTTAGTAGAGATGGGCTTTCCCTATGTTGATCAGGCTGGTCTCGAACTCCTGACCTTGTGATCCACTGGCCTCAGCCTCCCAAAGTGCTGGGATTACAGGTGTGAGCCACCGAGGCTGGCCACCCATCTAATTTTTTATTTTTATTTTTGTAGAGATGGGGGCCTCACTGTGTTGCTCAGGCTGGTCTCCAACTCGTGGCCTCAAGTGATCCTCCTGCCTTGGGCTCCCAAAATGCTTGGATTACGGGCATCATCAAGTAAACTCTTTTTTTTTTTTGTTTGTTTGTTTTGAGATGGAGGAGTCTCACTCTGTCACACAGGCTAGAGTGCAATGACTTGATCTTGGCTCACTGCAACCCCCACCACCCAGGTTCAAGCGATTCTCCTGCCTCAGCCTCCCGAGTAGCCAGGACTACAGGCGCATGCCACCATGCCCGACTAATTTTTGTACTTTTATTTATTTATTTATTTATTTATTTATTTTTTGAGACAGAGTTTCGCTCTTGTTACCCAGGCTGGAGTGCAATGGCGCGATCTCGGCTCACCGCAGCCTCCGCCTCCTGGGTTCAAGCAATTCTCCTGTCTCAGCCTCCTGAGTAGCTGGGACTACAGGCACGCGCCACCATGCCCAGCTAATTTTTTGTATTTTTAGTAGAGACGGGGTTTCACCATGTTGACCAGGATGGTCT